TTGACGTGTGCATTGCTTGATCTTCTCTGATTCAATATAAATGAAATGTTTTATAAGTTATTTTGTTGTCTCATTCCATGTTATTGCAGGTATTAGTGCTGAGATCAGTTGCCAAAAGCTAACATAGCAACTTGTATGTGAAAGGGCTCGTGGTAGTAATAAACTGACTTTACTAAGCGTTTTAGTATCTTTCAGCTCATTGTTTTGGTTTTTCTGCCCACTACTTTACTGTTTTGGTTCAGTCTAACTGCTCTCATCAGCATTGTTTTTTGGAAACAGCTGCTGTTTTCAACGAAGAAGCTCTACAAACCAACTGTACACTACCTGCTCAGCACCAAATAGCAGCTGGACAAAGCTGCCGACTAGCTTGTGAAGATTTTAGAGCATTTAGGTGCTAAAGAGTGATATATTTTCCTTTAGAAGATAATGGAAACCAAACCACAACAAAAAGGAGAGTGATTACAGGACTTGCATTCATCAGGTGGCCAGAAACACAACTCCAGTTCAATCCAGTCCAGAAAATCTTTCAGTTTTGTGTTTACAGCTTCTTATAGTCAAGATTAAATGTTCATTCTTGACCTTGGAAACAGCAATTCATAAAACAGTCTCAACACCAGGCCCATTTAGTAGCTGATGTGGAGTTTTTGGTCTTATCACCTGAGCTCGATTAATTCTTAATTTACTTATTACTATGTGCTAAGAAAAATGGATTCCATGACAACTGGGCAAACTCAGCTGTGGAAGATTCTGTGGAACAATCAAAGCTCCAGAAAAGCCACTAAGTGGACCTTGTAAAATCATTTATACAGCTTCTTATAGTCTTTGATTTATATAATAAGTAAGAAGAACCCATTCTTATCCCTCGGTTATGAAAATTCAAACTTTTTGTTTCATTCTCAGTCATAATATTACCTTGCATTCATTATAATGAAAAATAAACAAGCTGGACAACTTCAATATAAAGAGTTGTAATGACCAATTGGTTTAAACAATTGCCTTCATCGGGGTTGTATATTAATACATTCAACCCGTTGTTGGTTTAAATGAATAGTTCAACATTTTGGAAAATACACTTATTTGCTTTCTTGTCTAGAGTTAGATGAGAAGATCGGTACCAGAAGATCGGTCTCCTTTCTGTAAGCTAAATATAAAGCTGGAACCAGCAGTAGATTATCTTATCTTAGACTGGAGGCAGGGAGACATAGCTTGCCTGGCTCTGTCCTAAAATGTACTAATTAGCAAGCTTAAGAGGTGCTGGTAGGCAGATATTTTAAACATTGGGCAGAGTCAGGCTAGCGGTTTCCTCCTGTTTCCAGTGTTAATGTTAACCTAAGCTAATTGCCTGCTGGCTGTAGCTTCATATTTACCACACAGACATTATACTGGTATTGATCTTGGCAAGAAAGTGAAAACCTGTATTTCCAATTATATATTAATATTTCAAATGTAAAACAAATAAGATGATTGTATTTTGTTTTATTCTGTAAAAATGGTTGTATTAGTTTTTGTATGTTTTTATTTATTGTAAGCTATATTTCTCTTGCAAATTCACATGGCTTGTTCGTGGACTGCAAATACAACAACAAACAACCTCATCACCACCCAGATGAATGCAAGATAACCAAAATTATTTGGGGAATAAAACATGGTATGGCATGAGCATTCCCCAAACCAGAAACTATTTTGCATTCATACATGTTTCCCTTTGTGGAAAAAAATAAAATATTTGTGATCTGGCTCTAATCATGGCACGATAGTCGTCCATCACAAGCAGATGGGCAAACTAGAATAGCGACCAAACGCATACAACAGCTCTGCTCATTTAAATGACATGCCTAGCACGCCTATGCTCTAAAGCTGTCGCAAAACTGCTCATTACAATGAATTAAGAGAGGTCTGTGTGTAAATGTTGAGCCTACTGTTCAATTTTTGGTGGTGAGGGGAATCTGGAGCTGGAGGGGGGTGTGTCTGGTATGGTGGGGCGGTCACAACAAGCATCTGGAGATATGTGTGGCCATGTCCACTGGACAGAAAGAAAGGAGAGAGGGATGATTGATGAGAATGAAAGAAAGAAGAGGGAGCAAAATGCCTCGTGTGAGTGGTTGAGAAAAGTGTGGGACATTACACTCAGATGGTCTGTTTCAAGGTGGTAAGATTGCTTTTAGACTGTCCTGTCTATTGTCCAGTCTTGCTCTATCACTGTGCTGGCAGACAGGAATGGAACAATAATAAGGCGATTACAATATTCATCACTCAAAACTCAAATTTGAACGAGGTGGTTTTGGGCCTTACAGACATGGTAACCCTGCAACATATCTGCTCACAGATGTCTGAAAAGGTTGGCTACAGTCATTCAGAATATTCACCTCCTCAGTGTGTTTCCATAGCCAACTCACAAAGCTTGCTTGAACTTGGGGGAAATGGTGGGAAAGGTGTGTGATTTAGAGGGTGACAGCTGACTGTTAGGGATTTGGCTGTCCAGCCTGCCTTATCTCCAGCTCTGGTTCCTCACTGAATGTTGGTCTTTGGGGAAGTAGACTTGTATAGTGTTTGGGATGGGCTCTCTGGGCTGTGTTCGAGGCTCAGCTCTCACAACTTTAATCGAATCATTGCTTACAACCAGCAATTTGGAGGCCTTTTAGTTCATTAAAAGTTCAGCATTTCTGCTTCACTCCAGTTTACGGTATGTTCAATTGTGTTTTGACAGGCTGAAAGTTTAATGTCCAGCGCAGGCCTTGTTGATTAGTAAGATGATGTCTGTGTGGGCAATAGCTGAGACACACAAAGAAACTGAAATTAACAACATCATACTTTTTTAAATACTCTTTTCATCTGTCACACATGCCTCTGTTGACATATCAAAACCATTTTCTTTGCTTTTAACACAATTACTTTATTGCTTTAGTAAACCATTCACAGTCTAGGCTTTGACCCTTGAACCCTATGAAGTCAAAACGGCTTGTGAAATAGTTTGACTTGGGTAACACCTGTGAAAAAGTTACTTTAAGTAAAGGTATGTAATTGCACTGTGTTGTTTATTGGTTATGCAACTCTGCACAGAGTCACTGCCAGAAACCTCACCTATTTCACTGATTAACTGGATTATTGTACTGTAATGAGCTATTATCATTATATTCCTAATAAAATGTATTCTAGGCAAACCTAAAGTCTGCATCTGTGTAATACATCAGATATTGTGAATGCAATTTTTCACATCAACTTTTTCTTCATTTACAAATAGTTAAAAAAAAGTTCAATACATCAATAGTTAAAGCCAAAAAGATAGAGCTAATAATCACATACAGTACATACAAGTAGCACAAAAATGAAGTTTTATGCTTGGGACTGTAGAGGTTAAATAACACCACCAGCTGTAGTAAAAATTTTTATAAGGTGTGTAAATTAAAACAAAAAACAAAGCAAGCTGTGTAAAAGACACAACCTGAAGAGCAATGTATGACATCACTATGTGTTTCCCTAGGTGGAAAAAACTATTTTGGACCATGAATCGAAACACGCGGTCACATCCTTGACACAACAGATCCATTCTCCTGCACAGGTCTGCCTACCTCTGTCTGTGAGGTTATCAGCAGTTCATCAAGGGAACATGGAAGTGAGAGACAATACCTTTCTCCACTCCAACAGGCTCCTGAGGTGGCTCAGAGCACTTCAATGAAACACCAGCACCCTGGACTCGGACAATTTAAAGAGGAAGAGACCCTGCATGCTTTATTAGATTGTCAGCTGCTGCTGTGATCAGAACAAACATAAATAGGCCTCAGCCTTGAAAGTGTTTCACTGGATCACATTGGCCGTCTGTTAACGACCTCAGTGATGGTAAAATAATTACTTTCATCAATTTCAATCTGCTGTCTTTCAAACACCTCAGGATAGCCATGGAAAGACTTGAAGGAATAATAACAGACAGGCCTGCCTGACATAACAGTGGATTGAATATGCCTTAGTAAATTAATGTTTATAGAAAACTAATGACTTCTGCTAATTACAGTGTACAAAAACAATCAAAATGATTTTTTTCAGAGTCACTAAGTCAATTAGCAGCAATACACAGACTCACCATTTTTCTGGAGATGTTTTCTAAATTTCTTCATATAAATGTGATGGTTATAACCAAAAACAACAACAAAAAACTGGCATACATCAAAGAACATTATTTTCTTTTGCATGACAGGTTGGAGTGCAATTGATTTACAGACAGTCCCTTTAATCAGGCTACAACATTGTTAGACTTTTTCAGTGGTTAAAAGTACTCTAACTAAGTAGCCTACATTTACTCAAGTAGCCTGCTGCACTTGATCAAAATATTTGAGCATGTTATGCTAATTACTTACACTACATTTCTGAGGGAAAGCTTGCACTTAGCATCTGATGGCAATAAAAACAAAACAAAACATATAATCAGTCTTTAAAATGTGATGCAGTGTTATAGAATAAACTATCATGCAGTATATTAAGTTGTTAAAAGTAGCCCACACTGACTAACTGCAACATCAAAGTAGGAGCTAACTGTTAATGAGCTAATAATAATGACCAAATGATATTATAACACTGGCAGGGGAAAAAATACTAAAAGTAAAAGGCTACCTTTAGTATTTAAAAGTATATTTCATTACTTTTGTACTTTTAAAATGCAGGAAATTTACTTTTATTTTTATAGTGTGCAGCTACCTTTACTTACGTAGGCTTAAACATCTTAGTAGTCATTCCCACACTGGACATTTATATTGTGAATATAAAGGATGTTCATCACTAAAGGCTAACTCACCTAAACTCACTTTAGGCTACTTATCTATCATTTGTAAAAAAGTTGTGTTTTTCAAACGGTGCTCACAAATTAGAAGTCATAGCTTTCCAGTTGCACTGCACATCATGCCCTCCTTGATGATGGGTTAGGGTTAGTGGGACCCGCTGCCGCGGAGTGCACCATTGGGTGTCGCTGTGCGCGTAAAGTCTTCGCCGGCAGAGTTGGTCCGACCGGACCCCAAACAGTCTGAAGTGTCAGATAGTCTTGTTAACACGTGAGAAATCCGGTGTATGGAAGAGGGTGAAAGAAGGGCGAAACCGGGAGAGAGAGGGCTCTAAAAATACGCAGTGAGACGTCTTTGAGAGAGATAGAGAGCTGGACTCGGAGGAAACGCAGAGGTCCTAATGAGGGAATGCCGAAAAGGAGAGCGGACATACGGCCAGAACACCAGACATGAGTCCGAGGTAAGATTGTGATACGACAGGGAGGCACGGTGAGCATCCATGCAGACGTGTTATCACCCACTGAGTCATAATGGGCAGCTTTTAGTGGACTACAATAATGCGTTTATCAGGTTTTAATGGGTCTTTTCGTTATGAACCGATGTTCCTGATGTTCAGTACAAAGCGTGAGCATCTGGATCACATGGGCAAGTCCGGCCTAAAGCTTAGCCTATCTGATATACAGTAACTTCGGCTATATTTTTCCATTTTTAATCTTCATAGGCTATGAATAATTGCATGACCCAACACACTGAACGTCTTGTTAAGAGGATTTTTAGCATATGATTTGGCGTATAGAAAGACACAAACGTGCCATTTATAAAAGCACAAAAAGTAAAATGTTTTCATATTTTATTTTGATGCCACTTATCACGATAGCAATGGTCTTGTTCAGGTGAATAGGATGAGTGCATAGGTTTCCTGAAGACCATGGATGTATTTTATTTAAAGACAAAAGGTGTCTAAAGTTACACACATACAATATTACCTATCATAATAATATTTTGAATCAATCAATCCATTGTAGGTAGGCCTATGGACGTGACAAGTTTTACATTATTTATTTTTAAAATAGGCCCTAATGTCCTTGTGTTGGCAGTTATTATGGGACATTTATCTGAACATCTACAGTCAGTAATGCTGTCCACTTAAGTCTCCAAGGGCAGGTGACAGATGAAGATTTTTTGAAGCCACACACAGCAAGTTTTTTACCTGAGAGAGAGAGCGAGCGAGCGAGCAAGAGAGAGAGAGAGGGAGAGAGGTGTTTTAAAGTGTTGAATGGTTTGCCAATTCTCCGTTTCCACCTTAAGTGAAGCCAGTGGTCATATTAAGACTCCAATTTTGAGGTCTGCAGGGAAGGTGAAAGACTGCCTTATTTACATGTTTATTGGATTTTTCAATTAAAAAGTGTAGGCTACAGTTGCAGAATACAGCAATTAGGAATAGATTTCCTGAACTCAACAAGAAAAGCAATTTTGACCTCAGGGCCAAAATAAAATTAGTTAGGCCTATGGTGGTGGTGGTGGTGATGTGTGTGTGTGTGTGTGTGTGTGTGTGTGGTGGTGGTGGGGGGGGGGGGGGTCCTGATTCCTTGAAGGTCCTTGACATGGAAAGCTTGAACAACTCTTGGTCTAATCAGTTCTTTCCATCATTAAACGCCTCTCCAAAGTTTAAGTGGCGTGTCTGATCATAAATATGCAGCATATGGGTGTATACAATAGCTGCCTGTCTCTTTAAGACGATGCGTTGAGAAGTTCAAGTCGGGGTCACTTGAAGTTCCTGCCCTCGATGTTACCTTTTAGTTTTATTATAGACTGACATCACACGGGGCGCTAAAACACTTAAGGCGCATAGAGGCTCCATTATCATCCCGGTGCGCGTTATTGCCCCGACTCAAAAATAGCTAAGGAAATTACTAGAAAAAAATAGGAGGAAACTGATGCTGGTCTGAGCACGTATTTTTTTATTTTTTTTTGATAGGAGGGGATGAGAAGGAGGGGCAGAGAGACACTGAGAAAAGAGGGAGAGGGAGGAAAGTGGGTGGGAGGACGGACTTAAGGAGCGACAAGAAATTCATATCAATTAATAATCGTAAAAAAAGAGCTGGCAGACGCGCTCGGAAAACTGGCATGGTTTTTTGGAGGCTGGCAGTTCAAAGCTGAAACGTCAGATATGACTCCTAGAGACTGCTGAGATGATCATTAAGGGAGACTTAGATCGGATGGCAGAAGACATCGGGCATGCAGGTAAGAGCTGATATGCCGCATACAGGCACCCAAACAAGAACAGAGGAAGAATGACATTTAGGTTTTTATCCATTAAACTCTACAGCGTATGCTGTCAGGAAGAAAATGTGTTTTTAGTCAATCGCTGACATATTAGTGGAACATATTTTCCTCGTTTTTATTTCAGTATAATTTTGATATCGGGAAGAAAGGTTGCGCTTGTGATTTTTTCCGCATTTAATTCCAGTCGGTTGAAAACATATATTTGTTTTCAAATAGGCCTAATTAATTACACAGAGACTAGTGAGTTAATTTGTAAAAGTCTTCAGGATCAGTCTGGTGTAACGGAGAATTTAGATTAGCCTACATATAATGGTCTGCAAAATGATCTTAAATGTTACTTGAGTCTGTTCCACTCTACAAAATATGAGTTTTTAGCATTATCTTTTTCTTTGAGTTTAATAATGAAAAAAAAAAAAGTTTTAACGTAAAAGTTAAAGGGAACAACGACCTCTGTTAAAAGGAAACTTCAGCTTCTTCATAACCCTGTGATAAAATTAAAAGAACAGCGAAATATTAATGTTCCTTTTGGGCATTATAAAATAGGCCTGCCACTGTGTGTAAACTCAGAAACACTAAAGATTTTTAGTGCATACATTTCTGGTTCCCTTTAGAAAAGCCGAGATTTTATGTACATGTATGAAAGAGATGCTTCTCAGTCTTGTTGACAGCTCTGAAGAAGAAACAGCTGTCTGATACACCTTGAGCTGGAAACTGGTTCAGGAGGTGATTTAGGGCAGAGATAAAGTGAAGGTTTAAATGCTGCAGCTCAGAGAGATGGATTCACTCGTGTTTCGGTTTACTGTACAATAGCCTATGTGAAGAGCAGAGTAGAGACGCGGGTCCTCTCGGCATCAGCACACAACTTAATGCTCTTGCTTGGAAAACGCGCAGCCTACTCAGATTGCTTATTAGGCAATGACATTAAAACGAGCCCTGAAGTTGAAATCTAGCCCCTTGATGAACCGTGGCACAGAAAAAATAAAACGTACATGCAGTAAATGCTATTTAATTTTCAAATACATGTATAGTCTAACGATCATAAATTCTTAGAAGAAATTAGAAATAAATTAAAATAATCTTCTGTAAAACATGCACTAGGCCTATATTAAATTATTGCAATCCAGAAATTGAAAACGTACCCAGTAAATGCTTATAATTATATAGGCCAAGTGATAATTATTAAACCTGCAATACCATATTGATATGATAGCCTACGTGATCTCCTGTTTAAATAAACTCTGTTAATTCGGTTCCCATCGAGATTAAGAAGCTGTGTTACTCTCATACCTCCGACTGTAGCCTATTTCATAAATGTGTGATAAATTTTATATTCGCGATTAAAGCTGTCAAACATGAAATTGACTCTAACTCACCATGGTGTTTCCTGACTTGACTAAAACTCAGCTTATTCACCTTTAAGTGCTAGATCTGTGCCTTAGGATGCAGTTTTTCTATCTTACTTGTGGAAGTCGGGGTGTTATTTAATGCAGGAATAGCTTCACCAGCCTGTATTTACCTCTTGTGAGTCTAAAGAAAAAATTTTCATTATTTAGATTAAAGTAATGTAAAACTACAGTAAAATATATTTGTGCAAGTTTGCACTCACCTTGAACTGCAGTGTTGACTCATAAATTGAACATGGACTAAATATGAACATAGTCAAATGGGTTCTAAAATAAACATGGCGACATGAGCACAGGCAGCAAATTGAAATGAAAGAAAATAAAATGTCAACACAATGTTTTAAGCAGATGTTTGGAGTGTATATGTGACTGAGGCTGCATGTAGGCTAGAGGTAGGAAGTTTAGTCTCCCGCTTCACCCCCAACCCACAAAAGTGACAAAACAGACAAAACACATTGACAATGAATATTAATCTAATGCAAATAACTGAATGCCATCACCATTAACTACATCACCATCATCTAAGTTTCCTAATCATCTTGACGGGTCGTTAAAAAGAAGGCTATCAGACGATAACATCCATGCATCCCAGAGGGACTTGCGTAACCCTCTCCCAGGTGACTGCACTGTAAAAATGATTTAATTTAGTCTGTTTAACACAACAAACTGTAGCGCAGGCTTTGAATGTGTTTACAGGAACATTATATGTAGCACGCTTGCTTTAAGATGGGTTCTCTGACTAAATATCTTTGCAATCATCGATGGCTTCCTAACAGGATGCAGTGAGCTCACACATGCCCTCCAGATCAAGAGTTTTATAAAACATGGTTTACTGTGGTGTTTCACTTTTTGTCACTAGGCTCCATCAAACAGTGAGCTCAGATATTTTAAGAGGCAAGCTGCACTATAGCTTCTCAAAAGACTCATTCTGATCTCAGCAAGAGAAAATAAATCCTTGTTGAAGGGGAACCCACAAGGCATTACCAAAAGTAATTTGTTGTACGCACAGCGCGTTGCAGGTGCACTAAAAGGTTGCTTCGTGCATGAAATTTGTTTTCTTGTCACAAAAGCAAGTATACATTAAATATTGATTTCAGTATCTTATACACGCTGTAAAATCTGTATTCATGAATCAGGACATAAAGAAGGCACAATTTTCTGCCATGCTTTCTGAAGCAATTGAACAGTGTTGCATATCACAGCTCTGTAGACCGCATACAGACTAAAATGTACACTGATTGTCTGTGTGTGTGTGTGTGTGTGTGTGTGTGTGTGTGTGTGTGTACACAACGTGTCACCACGATCCGCACATTAACCAGTAACAGTAAACTGAACACCCCTTAATGCAATGGAGACTCTGCAAAAGTTCAGCGAGTTGTGGAAAGTACTTGGCCTATTCCTCATATCACACTCATTTCTAAACATGTTTGATCTGACCAAGGTTGAAATTTATAGTAAAATAGGACCGTTGAGTAATCAAAGACAGACAAAAACCAGAAATGGAAACACTTTAGATGACAACTGGGGACATGACAGAGCATAAATCCACCTAAACCTTCCTACCCGCCTCCATATTAATAGTCTCTTTAAAAAAATATATTTATGACCAGATAATAAGTAATAAATAGCATGCAAGTCATACGTATATGTAAAGGTGCTATGGGGACAGCACATTTTAAAATAAAGAGAAAATGAATATGTTTTATGAAAATGATTGTATTTAAAAGATATATTTTCCTTCATATTGATGACTGTTCTCCGCATGGTCACTAGCTAGGATGTTATACTTATTCTGACCCTGTTGTTCAGTGATGACATTTCCTTCTGATGTTAAAGGCCTGATGCTGAACATGCGTTCACAAAAATACAGCGCTAACATTTTCCTCTGCAGTGACCCTGAATAAGTTGGTAGCAGCGGTGCATTATAAGAGAAGAAAAAAGACACATGATTCAGGATTCCCCAGAATTCCTTAGTAACTCATTCGTCAAAGTTAAAAAAATTTAGATTCATACTTCCCTATTCTTGTGCTGAGCGTGTACACTGAATGAAATAAACAAGAAGTGAATGAGCTGGTGTCAGGAAGAACATGATCAGACAGATGACATGATGTTTATTTAGTTGCTTGTTTCCCATCAGTGAGACTAAGCCCTTAGGGACAGTTTGAGACATTTAATCTCATACGTAAACTATCCTCAGATGCCACTGGTTGAACAATACATGGTGTTTCATGCATGCAGCTGATATAGTTTATTTTAGGCTTTATGGAACAATTAGTGTTGATATTTCAGTGTGTATGAATGTGTGTGTGTATGTGCATATGTGTGTGTGTGTGTGCGTGCGCGTTAGATCCCTGGAGCTCATTTCAGCGAAAGGTATTGAACCATGTAATGCTGATTTACATGCCGTACACTCAGTGTTCCTTATATGACTGGGCAAGGGGAGCCGAAAGACCTATCTTTTTTTGGATGTGTCCTTCCCCCACAGGTTTATACCTGCTGTTCATCATACTTGTGAAACATCCCTTGCTTTGTTTAAAACTCTGCACAACACTTCTGGAATACTTTATCAGGAAGCCAGCAGTTACCAAATGTATATCTGCGGATCTCTGAATTTTGCTGTTTCTCTGTTTTTGCTCGCTGCAGAGGAAGTGAATGCATAGACTTGAATTTCTGATAATGACAAAACCATTGCAACTGCTCACCTTTAGCAAAAGTTCACTTTCACTGAGTGGCCTTCATTTGCACATCCCACACATAAGTTCTACACTCGACATGTTCCATTGAGTGGAATCTATGATTTAAATGTAAATATTTAAGACATGAACTACAAATCAGTAAGTAAACATGGAATCAATTAAATATCAGTAATGTGTTGGGGTTCAAAAGCCAATCTGTTATTAATTAATCTATAATAATACTAATAAATGTATCCATTTGCAAAGGCTATTTTTGTTTCCATATTACTTATATTTATTTGAGACGTTTTTCTTTTATGTTGGCAATGAAAATTTTGGAACTCAAAACTCTCCAATATATTTTAATATAGACTGATGTGTAAGTCCTAAATGATCATAGATTATTTTTATAAACTACATCAGTAACCATTCTTGTGATTCAGAATATTACACATGAATTGTGTTTTTGTGTATCAAAATGCTGATTGCCACATGACGTTTTACAGATATCTGTTGTTTCAGGTGGCGGACTGAAGACGATGCTGGATGCCATGGAAGTTCCAAGTCATGCTAGGGATCTCCTCCTGCAGCTCAACAGCCAGCGAACCAAGGGCTTCCTGTGTGATGTTATCATTGTGGTGCAGAACGCCCTCTTCAGAGCTCACAAGAACATTCTGGCTGCCAGCAGCCTCTACTTGAAATCTTTGGTGGTCCATGACAATCTCATCAACCTCGACCACGAGATGGTGAGTCCAGGGGTCTTCAGGGTCATTCTGGACTACATCTACACAGGCCGCCTTAATGAGGGAGACCCCACTTCTCCCACCGAACCCAATCTAGGCGCTGTCTTGGCAGCAGCCAGCTACCTTCAGCTGCTTGACTTAGTGGCTTTGTGCAAAAAGAAGTTGAAAAGAAATGGCAAGTACCCTCCCCGCCCAGGTCCTGCATTTCTGCCCTACCCAAAGATGGGGCCCAATAGTATGGGTCTAGGGAGTGGTGGCAGGTATAGGGTTTCTACTCCTGTCATTCAGTCCTGCCCTCCAGGAGGAATTTTGAATAGCCATGCAACCAGGGCACCACCACTAGAGGAGCTAGTTCCCCATCGGCTAGCCCTTCATGCTGGGGAGCTGTATGCTCCCACCTCCACCCAGGGCTCTCAGGTGTTCCCATCCTTGCAGTCAGCTCTGCCTGCCCAGCTTGGGCGCACAGCCCACACTGAGAGGAACTGCTCCCCCAACTACGGCCTTGATCTCTCCAAGAAAAGCCCCAACTCCCAGTCTCAGCACACACCCTCTAACTCCCTTCTGGCAAACAATCACAATGATGAGGAGCGAGATGGGAATCTGAGCGCTCGCACCAGTCCCATGCAGGGGGCGAATGGAAGGCCCTTCCCCTTAGAAAAAATGGAGCTGACCGACCAGGGAAGCTCCCTTACTCCTCCACCTTTCCCTCATCTCAACCAGTCTCTTGGCCCACACCTCCCTCACATGCATCGCTCGGGCTCCCAGAGCACAGATCGCTACCCATGCCCCCCCAGCCCTGACACCCCCACGGAAGGTGGAGAGGGAGGCAGAGAAATGGGCAACATCTACCGCTGGGTGAAACATGAGCCATTCACAGCTGAAGATGAAGATGAGGATGATGATGAAGAGGAAGGGGGTGAAAATGGAGACCAGCATCATAACCACCACAAGGCCGGGGAGGAGAGTGAAGGAGCAGATGACAAGAGCGGGTCAGGCACAGAGGAGACAGGCAGTAGTGAAGGCCGCCCGTCACCTCCGGGGCCGATGGGGAGGTTCCACATGCCGTATGAGCCAGAGAGCTTCGGGGACAATCTGTATGTCTGCATTCCATGTGACAAAGGCTTCCCGAGCTCAGAGCAGCTCAATGCACATGTGGAGACACACACGGAAGAAGAGCTGTATGGCAACTCTGGTGGAGAGATGGGAAACAGCAATAATAGCAGCACCAAAAACATGAGCAGTAATACAAATGGTTATGGGAGCCTGAACAGCAGCAACAGTTTGAACAGTCTGTCCCATCTGGAGACCAAGTCTAGCCAGGGGTTGGGTTCAGGGGGCATCGGGGAGATGATGCGGCCCTACCGCTGTTCATCCTGCGAGAAGTCCTACAAAGATCCAGCCACTTTGCGCCAGCATGAGAAAACACATTGGCTGACCCGGCCTTACCCCTGCAGCATCTGTGGCAAGAAGTTCACCCAGCGTGGCACCATGACACGCCACATGCGAAGCCACCTGGGCCTTAAACCTTTTGCCTGCGACTCCTGTGGCATGCGTTTCACCCGGCAGTATCGCCTCACGGAGCACATGCGCATCCACTCAGGGGAGAAGCCCTACGAATGTCAGGTGTGCGGGGGAAAGTTTGCTCAGCAGCGCAACCTCATCAGCCACATGAAGATGCACAGCAGTGGAGGGACTGCAGGGGGCCTGACCACAGATGGGAAACTGAAGCTGGACTTTGCCGAGGGCATTTATCCTCTCAGTAAATATGCAGCAGAGCATCTGGGGCTGAAGCAAGAGAAGGCCAATGAGCTTCTCATCCAAGCCCAACAGCAACTGGTAGCTGATGCAAAGGCCATTGAAAGCCTTTACCCACTGTCCAAACTGGCCTCGGAGCACCTGGGCCTCACTCACGACAAGATGGATGTCCTGGGCCAACCCCTCCCTCCTCCCCCACAGGCCCTCTCTGAAGCCCGCACCATTGACCGCTACTCACCCAGCTAAGACCACATGACCTGTATAAATAACGATCACCAATAGGTCTGTGTGCACACACAATTTGCAGTATTCAAAAGCCATTCACCTCAACTCAGTATCTCCTCTGCACCTCGGACTCAGGCCAAAAGGAATTGGTCTACTTATGCGCACCAAAATGTGCCTTTCTATACATCTAATGTGTCTTAAAGTCCTTCATAAAGGACCTCTTTGCTATTCTGTGACCAAGAGACACTCACTTAAAGTACAGTATTTATGTGCAGTGTATGCAAATGAACAGTTAAAAAAATTACAGCCATTGAGCCAAAGTGACAAATTGAAAACCAAAATGAAATTGTTTTATTTATTTTTGTATTATGGTGAAATCCAAAGAGAAACTGTTGCAAGGACACATTGCTATCTGACCCTAAACCTGTGTACAAAAACTTGTGTACAAAACATGAAAAAGCACATAAGGACAAGATTCAGGGTTTCGGTCCAGACCTGAGCGGAACTTTTACCAAATGAATAAGCCAACTCTTTTGGACTTTAAAGTAATGGGAAGATGGATATATTTTTTCTTTTTTTTCTGTTTTTGGGGTACTGGACAATTTATGTATCTCACTCTCCAGCTTCCAAATCATGCTCCTGCTTCCCAGGTCGCAAGGAAATGACTGAACCATAAGAGCAATTGCTTCAACATTTTGGTAAAGTCTCCTCTGCTTTATTTTCTTCACATTTCTTCAAGTAACCCACTCTCCCACATAATTGTGCGGATAAAGGCTCATACTATGTGACAGTAATGGTAGCTTAATCAGCCTTAAAGTTAGCGTGTAACCCTTCTCGAGCTAAAACTTCCTTTGCATTTTGACAAACATCCTTAAGCTTTCAGTTGTTGCTGAGATGCAGTAAGCACAGCCCTGTGATCTCATAACTGGGACATGATTGCACATACCCAACTGATGACACACTAATCCCTGTTCATGATGAGTGTAGCTTCATCTCATGGTGACATTCTGTAATATTTTACAATTGTGAGTGCAGCCGAGCAGAGAGGCAGGCACCAGGCCAGAATTAATGACACAGAAATCTGTCATTTATTGTCAAGAGAGGTTGCTCCATTCAGATTGTGATGATTAATCATGTTGTGGCAGTAGTCAGATGCCGTGTTACCGCCCCACTGTCCGACCTCTCATTTCACCTCCCTCCCCTGTAGTCTGTTGTCTGGGAGCCCTGCTACTGTTGACAGTACTAAGTGAGTGCTGTATTTAGCCCTTTGCCTTAAAAACGCTCCACACACAAATATGACCCTCCCTCCACACACACATAGGGAGCTGCTAATCTGTCTCTGATATGAACATAAGAAGGGGTTTGTGGGTCTTCCCTGGAAGCCAGCGGGTGAACAGCACACTCCAGCTGCTGTGCCTCAGTAATCCCTGTGAAATCTCACTTTCTCCTGGACAATTCGCACTGCTCGCCAGCATGATGTCCCATTTCATGCCTGCCATCTTACCCCTCTGATCCACTTATTAACATCATGTACGAGCCTAGCAAATGTCTCCTGGTCTCGCCTCCCTTCCCCGCTGATATCAAACATAGAAACAAAGAATGGCATATTTCTGTGTTGGCTGACCAGCAGTTTCCTACCGGCGTGAAAACAAAAGAACACTTAAAGGTTGCGGGTAGATGGCACATTTTTGTCTTTCAATGTTTATTCCAAAGAATATGCTGGCCTTTTCTTTTTTTTCTTTTTCCACTTTTACTTGTCCTTGATTCAGATTAGAAATGTCTGACCACTATAGCGCCAATGTCAACCTCAGTGGGTGAATGTGAAGACTAAAGCCATACATACACTGTGATAGACGGAGTGAATCTTAAAGGCTTAAAATACATAGACAATGTACCTGACTTTTGGGATTGTTTTTTTTAAATGTAACAATAATTTAAGGGTTTCTTCTCTGTAGCATATGATCATATCAAAAATGTTGTCTTCTGTCACTTACTTTTCTTTATTTTGATTTTAACTGAAAGCAGCGCACGTGAAACTGGTGCTTACCTCAGGACTGAACCCAGCATGGGGACGCTAAGCTTTACTAAACCTTCGAGTAAAAATGTCAACACACACACACACACACACACACTTATGTAAATGTTCTTATTAACAGGGCAGCTGTCCTGTGTTAAACCTGTGGTTATTTCTGTGCTTATACATTTCTTGTTACAGTTTTATGGTGGAGAGATAATATGTGATATTAACATTTTTTTGTTTTTATTGTTACTATGCGGTATACATTTTCTATTGTGTTGTCCTCAAAGAGGCTCGTGTCGTTCTGACCAATTCCATTATTATAAGGCAAAGTCATATTGGTAGTATCTTAACTGGCTGTTTGTGAATTTCTGAACCACACTTTAGTGAGCATGATGGCATTGAGCTCTGGTTTCAACCACACATACAGTAAAGTCTAGATGATTAGTGTAGTGTTTTGAAATGTCTCCACAAGACATGATGTGTTATACTTCCCTAAACAGAAGAGCAGTGGCTTTGCTGGGCAAGTATGAAATCTAGCCTTATATTGTTTGACCCTTTTCTCCAGAGGTTGGTGAACTTTCAACGAAAGTCAGACTGAGGCCATACATGCACACAAACACCCAGGAAGCCAGCTTGTTTTGGATGATGCTTCAAGTTTTGGGATTCTTTTATTTAGCACTGTAACAAAAAAGAAAGCACAGCTTAAATGAAACAAATATTAACAGTAAGAACAAATGTGCATACGTGTTAAAAATGTAAGAACAGGCGGATGTCAGTCGTGGGAATTTCAGTCCCCTCGCTCCCTCTCATTCACTAGTTTAAATGAAAATCTGTCTCCTCTTTTCCCCTGCCTTCCACCATTAAAATAACACAAAGTCTTTCCACTGTCACTCCAAATCTGTGCAGGAGGGAAGAGCAAGATAATGCTTACACAGTTCTGTAGGATGTGCACTTTTTGAAATTTGCTTAATTGCATCAATGTATGACAGACAGAGGGGGAGGGTTGTGTATCTATAGACAGGGAAAGCGTTTGCTTGTCTGTTTGTATGTCCCTATGCTATTTGAGCGTATGAAGGAGTGTTAATGCATGTCCTGGGAATAGGGCTGGTGTGAAGGAGAAGAGCTGAGGAGCAGGAAGTGAACTTTTGGCTGGTGTGTTGCATTGAGCAGGATGTGCAGTGTGTTTCTGCTCAGAGGCAGATAGAGAGACGGAGAATGGGGAGGGAGAGGTGCACGGAGAACGCAGCAGGGTGGACTCGAGCCATTGTCTTAGTATGAAAGCCTGTTCGTACTTCTAAAACTCTCCATTCAGAAAACAAGTAGACTGTATCTTCTCTTTTCCTTCCCCTTTTTGCTCTTTGGGAATAAGCCTCTGCTCCGTATCATGGTGATACGACATTGTGGACTTGTGAAGGGCTGCGCAGTAATTTTTTTGCCATCCTTTTGGTCACAGGAATTCATTACAATATTTTCTCTATATTAAGTAAATTTTTAAACATTTGTGGAGCAGTGCTGATCAATATGAAGGGCCTAGAAACTGTAATGTAAATCATAATTAAAAAAAAAACATCAGTATTTCTTTTGCTCTGTGGTTGATTCAGTTTTACAAGAGTCTTGTTTCAATTTACTGATGTAGCCACTCACCCCATGGGGTTTTATGTCATATGCGTTATGTTATTTATATGTCACACCAACCCAGAAAACCTCTCATTGCCACCAGAGTAGTTAAGATGAAGATGTTTTGAAAGTAATAAAATTAGACATTTAAAACTTTATTAGTTACATTAATTTATATAATGAAAATTGATAAATACAAATATAAATGAGTGCAGTAAGACAAACCACCAACTATGAGATGGGGGTTAATCTTTTAATTTAATAAAAATTTTTTAGGGCCATTTCATTCCTTTCTAATGTTGTTATGGCAATCATCCCAGGCCCGTAACTTTTATAACACTAACAACATCGAAATAAAAAACGATCTAGATGTGTGACCCTGTGTAGACCAAAAAAGGGTTTAGGTTTTATGTAAAAAAAATGCTCAGTATGCCTTAAAGCTTTCTACCAGCGGCAGCAGGCCAGGGTCACCTATGTGACTCTGACAGGCTGAATAGTTCTGATCTGCAATCATACCGCTGTTTGACATTTATTGTATTTCACGATGTGTGCCAAAAGGACTGAAGCACTTAGCAGACATCGCAGATGCTTAAAACAAAACTCAGCGACAATCTTTGTAGTTTCCACGGGTTGAATTGTCGAGCTAAGCTTCTGACCAACTTGGACTTTGCCTGGTTATGAAAGCCATTATCTATGTGGTTAATCATGAGAGCACAGTGCAGACATGCCACTATTGTCCAGTGTACATATTTCTTTTTATGAGGACTCATGTTTAAATGTAAGCTAGAACCAAATATTACTAATAATCAAGCCTTATAATGGTATTAAAACCAAAAACTGACTCATAAGTCAACCAATTACAAATGTGCCTTCAGTGTAACAAGCATTGATGATTCTGCAATAACTTATTTGTGTGTGAGTGTGTAGGTGTTCTGATTTGTCATAGTGCACCTGTCCATCTACATGTATAAGTGCCTTTCCCACAGTGTAGCAGGGTAAAGTACAAGGGAGAGATCTGACACTTTCAAGAGTCTTTATTACAAGCAGCTGCTTTAGATTTATTTCCCCAAACTGCACTTTTCTGGAAAAATCATTGTATTGTGATTTTTTATTACTCTTATGATCCCCTAGAAGTCCCACAATTGCCTTTCCTCTGGCACTTTGCTTCCTTCGCTTTCCTCCTCTTCCTCCCTCAAGTGCAGAGCTTGGCCACACTTGTTCACCGCCCTTGTTACCTCAAAGCATAGCTTCCATCCTCACCTCTCTCTGTCCCTTCTCTCTTCTTACACTCAACACAAACCGCTGACCTACAGCGCCCGGTGCCTCCCTCCTCTCCCATGATCCACTTACTTCCAGCTGTTTTTCATGCTGAAGAAGACAGTTGTCTAAATGTTTATGTGAAGAGCTACTTTCTTTTTCTTTAAGCCCTGATCAATTTCCAAAATGAACTTTGTGGCATGTGTTAAAATACAGCAGATGACGGGCCAAATAAAAAAGTCTGACATCGTTATTGTATTCTGATCCTCATGCCAAGAAATGGCTTACAAAGGGAGATTAAAGACAGCATATCGTTGTAGAGGAAATGCAGAATAATGTGAGGGGAAATGTTCAGGGGAAAATATGCTCAGAAAGATGCCAGTAAAGTAAACATGTATGAAATTGCACAATTGAGCCGGGCCTCAGCTGCACCAGCCAAGTCATGCACTGAGATGGAGAGAACAAGTAAGCTGAGAGCTGAGAAGAAAAGAAGCAGAATCAGAGAGAAAAATGGCTTGTGCTTGATAGTCATAACTTTAAGTAAATAACAAAGAAAAGCTGGTTTCTTTGTGTGTCTGTTCAACCCCCCCCCCCCCCCCCCCCTCGTTCTGGGAGTTTTCATTTCCCATTTAATAAATGAAGGAAATTAATTTTTTTTTCATTGTTGATTGCTGCAGGTCATTGACAAGGATTTTTAATGTTCATGTTAATGTCAGCGTGCCCTCAGAGATGTCATCTTATTTCCAGGCCGAATAATTATCACTCAATCAGCACATGGCCCACAGTAGGCTCTTTGTAGTTGGATAGGGAAGGGGGTTCTGGCTGTCCATGTCTTCCTCCATCTGTTTGGCTTGAATCTCTGTTTCTGTCTCTACCTTGAACACATACAAGTCAGACTAAGTGGACTTTGGCTTGAAACCTTTCGTTTACAGTGTACAACTTCTGCTCCAGGAGTTTAAGTTCAAAGACAAACAAAGAGGAGAAAGCAAAGCAGGAATTTGGAAGAGTGAAAGTTGGTCGGGGAGAAGATTTGATTGTATATCTCACGGACACACACAGCTGGATGGCAGACTGCTGCTCCAGATTAGGTCAGATTTAATTAGGCTGCCCTGATCCGTTTGGAGTGTCACTTCTTGTAAAAAAAGCCATTATTAAAGAAAAGGTGATTCCACTGACGGCTTCTACCCAACACACACTAAAACCTACACCAAAATGTTACAGGGCCCCAGGGGGTCCTCACACACACACATACACAAAGACACACACAAAACATCTATACTGGTGTTGGAAAAAGGTTATGTGTAGAAATGATGGATCATGATTTACTGAAGATCACTGGGATGTTTCGAGGTGGTTGTATCCGTTCACAGATAAGAAAGTTCAGCACTAACACAGACTGCCACGCAGACAGTTGCTGCGGATAGATGGAAAAAAAAATACATCACAGATTACATACATCATGAATTTACCATGGAAATTAGACTTTTCAGTGGAAGACATGATCTTATTTCAGCAGGCATGAAGCAGATGTCCATGAAACATCATTGTCCAGTGTTTCGTTTTGTGGTTTTATACCATAAAATCAATTAAAAGCAATACATTAAACCAAACAGTATTTTTCTGCATTTCATTGTCAATATTGATCTTACTTTGCTTTAGTGAAATGAATGTATTTATTGCATGTCAAAATGTTTTATAGTTAATTTTTGTGTAAATTTCAATTGTGGGTTTTTATAATAATTTCATTTAATTATGGTGTTTTGATAAAATCATGTTGATAAGGCTTTTATTTTTTTTAAAAGCCAATGTGAAAAATGTCATGTTTTTTTTGTTTGTTACTATACTCAAAATCAACTTGGCAATAAAGTGAATTTACAAGGAAATGTGTCAGATGTTTTCATTTATTTTATTTTGTGTATAATTTGAATACAAATAATTATACATAATAATACATAAATATACATTTCCATTATAAGAACATTTAGATATGATTAAATTGATATTTTCTTGAATTTAATTACACTAGATTTACCCCATTTCATTTTTGTTTTTCACACATTTATTGCGCATGATATGAGTTTCACATTAAAAGAAAAATATGAGACAAAAGACCATGATCAAGACCATTTCACAGCAACGATGACCGCAAAAATGAGCAACCTCTGTTCATTTTCCTATAGCCTAATACATTCGACTTCAAGTCTATATTCTCCCATATGGAGACATGTGAGTGCCTCATTTAAGACAGAGAATTTCAAATGAATCTCATACATCACACACAGTCCACATGCAACAATGAACAGATCCATTACTCTGTCAGCAGGAGCAAAACCAGCCAGGCAGCCAGGCAGGCACACACACACACACACACACACACACACACACACACACACACACACACACACACACACACACACACACACACACACACACAAACTCACATCCTTTTCCACTGTGTGAAAATCACCATATTATCATCAGCACATAAGAAATCATAGTGCCTTCCAGATGTTTGGTATGAATCAAGCAACTTGCCACAAATTACATCTTGACATTAAACAAATTAGCATTTCTTCTCTCAGGTGGTATAAATCATCAACATTCATGAACTAGAGGTGCTTCCTGAGCGATTATATTCACCAGTTGTAATAAAGGACATCGTCCGCTTTATGCTGTTTAAACTGTAGGTGAAAACAAAAGTAACAGCATGACATTCATCACATGTCTCAGCTTTTTCTGTTTCCTAAACCTGGAACGCAAGCGTGGTTTTCTCTGAGTTCAAGGAAAATTCCAGTTTATTACAACTTGCGCTTTATCATAGTTGTGGTCATTATACTGTATCTGCTATTGAGAAAAAAGTCATCTTACTAGCTTTTTCCAGAGCTTTCAAGCTAGTAAGTGTGTCCAAAGTCAGGAGAATGTTGTACTCACTAACTTTAGAGCTGAGATCAGGGAACACTGTGGCATCACTAATGAAGTCTTAGTGGGTAAAAAAACACAAGATGATCAGACAGGATGTAAACAAGCCAAAAATGTGTTTAAAGGCTTATCAGCCGTCAAAATGCTGCACAGCTCTTTATACTCTGAAACAGGATTTCACAGCTCTGGAAAGTTAACACAGCAGCATTATTTTATCTTTCGTCTTGATGATTGAGAGGCAAACAGTAGAAATATAGCCTTCACATTAAGTATTCTACCTGTATTCTTGTGCAGTGAGGGATTATTACCAACTTTTTAGGCTGTGTTCAGACCAACCTTAACCATGTATGAAAAAAAAACAGGCCCCTCATTCATTTGAATGCAGCCAGGGTGCCAACACAGATGGCTCAGGCAAAAAAATGCAAGGTGGTCTGGGAAAAAGGCTAAACTTTTTTCACAACCCAACAAGATGTCATCAGGTGCATTAGCCAATAAAATACATGTATGCAATAAGTTTACCACTTATTTTTATTCTCTGTTCCAAATAAGTTTGGCTGACCTGAGAGTTTGTTTAAAATCTGTTTAAATGTGAGATCACTCGTGATTTTTGTCCTGTCAGACATTATAGTTATGCTGTTTGCTCCAAGTACAATTTTATCAGAACTGAAATTATGTCCAAAATAAGAAAATAAGCTTGCCTTTACTATTTTCAGCTGAGGGACAGTGGTGCAAAACCTTAGTGCCCACTGCTCATACAGAGAGAACAGGAGAACTTCTGGCAGCAGGCCTGCTTCACCCTGCTCCCTTGCCATTCTGCCACCCAGAGGCATCACATATTAAATGGCAAAGGTCTGAGGTGTCTGATGTCAGGCAGTGGGTGCCCTGGTTCAGCCTGGTAATGTCAAGGGGGGACACAGGGCGGGTGCAAGGTCTTACTCGCCATTCAGCATGAGCCTCTACTCCCTGCCCCGCTTGTAGACTTCTCTGTGCAGAGTTTACATATTCTGCTTGTGTTTGTGTTGGTTTGCTCCCACAAGTCAGATGAAAATATCCACAGGTATGAATTCAAGTGTGAGTGATGAGTGTGTTTGTTGAGCGATGTGAGCAATGTATGCTGGGAGAGGACCTCCTGACCTTTTTTAACCCTAAATAGGACTAATCAGTTTAACAAAACATGAATAGATGAGGTGGATAACCAGTGGGTTTCCAGTGGAGTGGATGTTTGCTTAACCTGGTGCTTAAGATGTAGAGTAGATGGACATGAGAAGGGCAAAGGTATTGACTGCAGAGTCATTTAAACTCTGATCCTGCACACTCAACAGATACACTGCAGTGACTCTGCTGTAAGCACTTAAGAAGAGAATTTCATTAAAGAGCAATCCCAGTGTAATTCAGGTTTATGCCTATATATATATATATTTTTTTTTTTACTTTTGTGACTTCTCTTCAACTCCAGGAAGCACAGGAAAGAGGTCTTCCTGGTGCTGCTTTCAGTGCCATCATTAATTGTGAACCATCAAAAGAAAAACTTTTTAAAAGAAGTTTCACTCACTAGTTTCTTATTAACCTGCAGTTGGGCTCATTCAGCAATGACCAGAGAACCGAGACGAGATAGGATGAGGTGTCTTAATTTCCTGCTTCTCTGACATCTGTGTTTTTCCCTTCTCAGTGTTCAGTCAAACCAAAGGAAGACATTTCATCTGGTTATTATTCATACAATAAAATAAGCACATATAACTGGGCTTTTGGACAATCATAGTTTAAAATTGGCATCCTCTGATTTTTTACTGAACTTGAACTCTAACTGAACTTTACTACAATGCTCCAGCAACAAATCCTGCCTTTAAATAAGTTACATTGGATATTTAAAAAATGTAAAAGTAACAGAAGTAGAAAGGGGAAGTAACATTGTTACAGTTTTACTTCAGATTTTAGACATTAAATGCGTTTAAACATTAATGAGAGGCAAATAATCTGCACTCTGTAATTTCAGCACAAACTACAGAGACACTGGCTGTTTAGGCTCTGTCAGTGACTTTTAGTGACCACTGTATGCAGGGAAAATCAATATGACGGTGAAAGAGTAAACAAAAATGTGCATTAATATATGCGGACAATTAGAATTTCACCCATGTGTTGCATGGTGTGACAACAATGACTGAAGTTAATTAGTGTTCATGGATTTCTGCATAATGCTTTCAAAAGCACAGCTCAATCTGCTGCTGGTTAACATGGTATGTTCTTTGCAGGTTTAGTACTATGACTAGCACAATACTTACCACTGAGAATTACTTGACCTATTTAATGTGTCTTTTAGTTTTTAGTTGGTATCTTGGGTTAATTGTGGCCATGGAGCTACTACAGATTACTGTATATTTTGATAGATAATGCGCTTTTCATATAGTTTAATCAATGTTAGGATAAATGGGTGCCATAGGCCAGTGGATCAGCAGAAACTACATATTGAGAGCCTCTAAGAGGAAGGAAGTCTGTCCTACACACTACAAAAATGTGTAAAAACATGTAGGTTACTAAGAACACGCTAAACACACGTATCTAAAAACATCTCTCATTCCTTTAAAAGGAGTATGTTTTGGTGTAAATGGGTTCGATGAATGAGTCCATAGTTCTATCTAATTTGTGAGAGAAAAGAGGAAAATAGAGAGAGAAAGAAAAGTGAGACAGACGCTCCACTCCACTTAAATGGCCACAAGCATGACCTCTACATGTTGTATCTCACGCCATGTTTTACAGTCTCCCTCCTCCTCCTCCTCTTCTCTACATGTCTCTGTGGCTGTCTATCCCACCCCTGCTACATTTCACTGCTTGGACTCCCACTGAATGGAAAACAGCTGGGTTGGGGACTGCCCAGAGCACATTATGCCCAATTCTTCAATGAATTCCCATCTACCTCTCCCCTCTCCTCCTCTGTCCAGTGTGCTCCCTTGCTCCCTGTCCTCATTTAAGGTGGGGCCGTGCAGCTGAAACAAAAGAAAAACAGCCTCTATGAGAACATGTTTCTCACCCACATATGGTACTCTCTCCCTTTCCTCCTTTCTGTGAATTTGTTTCTCAACATTACTCCCTGGTGATACTCTGGTGTTATGGCTAGTTCTGCTTTTGACAAGTTGAAAAATGTGGATGCAGCTGAGTTGTACAGCCAATATGCATATAGTAAAGTAATGTGTCAGAGTTATTACTTTGCCCTGATGTCCAACCTAGTTCACCTGCTGTGGTAGAAGGGGCCGGTGTGAATACAAAAAGAGCCATAAAAAACTGTGCTTGGATTTCTAAGAACAATAGAACTTCAACAGCACTGTAGAAAAGTGTTTTTACTAGTTTTGTCAATACATGTGACATTCCAAACGCACATTAATAAAAAGCATTAATTCTTTAGCACATATACAGTATGTAAACACTTTTTGGATCTTTTCTGCAAAACTGTCAATATTGCTTGTCTTCAACACATCCACACAACACGTTCAAATAAGGCAATGTAACTTTTGTGTAAATAACAAATAGTCTTCTAATAAGTCTTCCTTTTACAAATAAAAAGTTTAAAGTTGATTCATTTCTTCTTTTGGCAACTTAGGGCCAGTTTAATAAGCTGAAAACATAATATTGACAAATTATCACTGTATACAGTTGACTATTTACACATCCAGCAGATATGAAGAAACATACCCTATCTGGCATTTGGTGCTGGACAGTGGGTTAATGAAAGTTTTTATTTTATTTTATTTGCATCAGTTTGCATCATGTTAAAATTATCTGTAACACTGTGGGGAACTGCTAATGTTGTTGTTAATCAGTGTCATGAGAAATGTAATGGGTTTTGCGGCTATAGCCTTACTTGACCTAGTAGGACCAGTAGCTTATGGTGGCTAATCTTAGCTAACGTTAGCAAACTTTACAACGATGCTGCTGTGTTTTACTTTTTTCAGATTTTATGAATCATCACTAC